TACTAGACAGGGGTTTGAGTTTTAAAACTAGGTCCTGCCTGGGCTTCTGGCCGCACTGGGGTCCAAATTCCCACCTCTCTTATGCTAACAGCAGCTTGCAGGGCCTTCTCAGCTTGTTGGCCTCTTTCCTGAAAGACAGGTCCAAACCCCCGTGCTTAGACTGCCACCTGCTGGGTTCCTTACCCATTAGACTTTCCTTGGGGCTTTTCAAACTCGACTTGTCACACTTGCAATGGTTAGGAAAATCTCATTGGGACTCAGAAGCCTGCCTTCCCGAGATAGAGCATTATGATTAAATACAAGTGTGAAATGACTCACCTCTGTCAGCCAGGGATCCCAGGGTTCATAAGCAGAAAATTTGATAAAGGTTTTATTGAGGGAAGCACTTAGTACCACCTCCTAGACAGGCACGCCATGACACGAGCTGACTTTATGATTGGCAAGAAGTGACTAACCGATAAGACACCCCAGCTGCAGGTCTCTTTTCCAGGAGATGAGCTACAACCAAAGGAGGAGTTCCAAAGATCCAAAGAAAGTGGTGCTGGTGCCCATGGAAGGCCAGAAATGCCTGACATCTGAGTCTGAAGGAATTCAGGTTTACTAGAGCAGGATCCTCTGGCCTCAGTGGGTCAGGGACTCAGGCAGAGGACGCCATGGAAGGCTCCTGTGGGGCACGCCCTGCAACTTTCCCACCACCCAACTCCTACTCCTCTTCCATGGACCCATCACAAGAGACGCCTCATCAGTCCCTTCTGATTTCCCCCTGGAAAGTGTACTCATCGGCCTGCACAGCCAGAGCCTCAGGAGATAAAGAAAACCTCTTGACCTCCCCCACCCCCAGGCTGTGTCCAGGTCTGCCTTCCATAACCCCAGACTCGGGGATCTTGACATCCAAGCCTGCCATGTTAATACTCTTTAAGATGATGCAGGTGCACATGGCGCCATCCAAGTTCAGGTTCCTCTTTCCACCATGGTTATTCAGCAATGCAAAGAGAAACCGGCTTGATTTTCAGAAGATACTGACACGTCGGCTGATGGATCCATGCCCTGACAGCGGCCTTTGATCAGACCTGGAAAGTTGTCCAGTTCAATCTGATTTCTTGCTACAGAGCAGTAGAAAGAGAAAGGATTATAATAGTTGCAAAACAGGCTGAGGATGGACTCTTTGTAGCGGCACCAGTGGTAAATAGGCAAATGGTGCATGTTTAGTGCCCCACGACGGGCCCAGAAGAGATTATCACATCAGGGTGGAGAAATCCAGAGGAGGTCAGACCTCTCTGCCCTCTTAGCAGGTCTACACCTGGATTTACGAAGCCTGTACTTTATGGTCAGCTTGGGAATGTCAGTTAGAGCTCTGATGAAAATGCAGCTGCTTTGCAGCACTCTGAAGAGGCTCTCTGTAAACACTCTAACTTAGACCTGGGGTTGAGTGGGGGCTAAATTACCCCAGGACAGCACTTTAGCGTAAACATTCTAATTTAGACCTGGGGTTGAGAGGGGGCTAAATTACCCCAGCACAGCATTTTATTAGCCAGTCACACCCAGGTATGAGAGCGAAGCTCCAAACACTGCAACGGGACCCACAGCGGGGATAAGGCAGTTGGCTGAGGGGTGTACACGGCCTCGAACAGCCATGAGGAAGTAGAGGATGAATGGGAGTCGAGCAAGGGAAAAGGCGGGTCAGTGCCATGCTGACCTTGAGGGATAAGGCTCACGGCGACTCCCACGGCTCCGAGAGGAACTGACGTAATGGGAGGGTGAAGGAGGCAAGTCTGGGTGCTTGAAGCAGAGAAAAGCCCAGGCCCTACTGAGTCCTTTGCTGGGCCTGTGTGGACACAGATGTGGACCCTTGGAGGTGGAGCAGGGCCTGCACTCGTCCAGAGGGGACCAAAGGGGGTGATGTCCTGCATCTCACGGACACCAGCGAAGAATCCTCGGACAGAGAACAGCAGTGCTCAGCACCCCGCAGGAGCCTTGGGTGACTCTGGCCCCGGTGATCTAGCCTTCCCAGTATTCAGGTGTCGATTGGGTTCTGTCCTCTTATTGGGGTGAGTCACCACCCCATTCCTCAGTGCTTGTGTGCCTTCTGGGGGTCAACTGCTCAGTTTTCTTTACCCTCAGCCGGAACTGCTGGTCGGGAGATGTCCTTGTCAAGCTGCCTCCTGGTGACATCAAAGCGCGCACGCTGTAACTGGGGAGAGGCTCTTTCTACTCAGGTCCACCCTGCCTCTCAAACATCAGGCAGCCTGGGGCAAGGTTGCAAGAGACCCAGCCAGCCTGGCCCCTTCAGGTCTGCTTTCTCTGCCTGGAGGTGACCCCCAGGCATGGCGTGGAGAACCCCGAAGGAGGACTGTCAGTGTCACTGTAGTGATCATTCAGCGGAAGGACCCTCATCCGCACCATCACAGAAGACTGCGTTGCCTCAAAGGAGAGGCTGCAAGGGGCTAAAGCCCATTACTGATGTATTTTTGGCTATAGGGTAGCTGTTACCAGGCCAGGTTTTACTGATAGTCAAGTCATTGAGAGAATACCACCTGCTAAAGATTTCAGATGGATCCATGAGGCAGTGCGACCCATTCACCCGCATTAGCAGGCCTACACACTCTCCTTGGACAGATTCCGAGACCCTACCCGGTTCTCTGCCCTCGATCTCAAGAAGAACTTCTTCTATTCTCCTGGATCCTAGCTGGCATCTCTTGTTAGATTCGCCTACCCAGGGTTAAACCTAAGCCATCGGAAGCACCCGAAAATAAAGGAGACAGACCATCACCTTGCATCCCTCATAGCTGTGGGCTGGTGGGGAGCCTTACTTTTTGTGTTGTTTTGTTTTTTCAGAAAAGAAAACATCAACCAAACTGCTAAGGCAGATGAGTAAACCATTTTCTCCCTCTAAATAAAAGTCAACCCCATCTGGGAAGTTGGGTCCTTCTTTTTGTGTTGTGTGAGTAGTTTTCTCTTCTCTTGGTTACCACAGTTCATCCAGTTTACTCTGGAAAATAATTTCCGTGTGAGACTCGGTCACCCAATGCTTCCAGTGTGGCACTATCTCCTCTGTTTTCCAGGAAACTGGACAGGATGTGCACCCTGCTAATCTGGCCCCATATCCTGTATTATGGTTTCTCATAGCCTTCCTATCTGGACCATACATATTTGGTTTCTTGTTTTCTTTGGGGGGGGTACCGGGGATTGAACTTGGGTCCTTCTGCTTGCGAGGCAGGAGGCAGAACCACTGAGGTAAATCCCTGGCCCTTGATTTCTTGTTTTTTTAACAGATAGTGAATTAGAGGTTGTGACCCAAGCCAAGGACAAAACCCCATCCCCACCTCTATGGTTCATCCATAGAGGGTCAGAGGAAGAGTAAGGCTCCTTTAGTGCCGAAAGACCTGGCAGGGGACACTGCCTTGGTCTCTGCATAGGTGGGGTCAGTACCTCTATTCAGCCTGGAGTAGCTGTAGCAGACGGACATTCTTCCTCCGCACTCCTGAAAGGTTTCAGAGACCGGGTCTCTTGGGGCAGGAATGTGGATGAACACAGTCAGGGCCTGTGGGATCACAGCCCTCCACTCACCGGAACCGGGGCAGCACCCCGGAGCCGGCCATCTGTTGGGCAACCCCACCGTGAAAGATGCAGCGGAAACCGCCCTCGGCCTGGCACGCTTTTCAAATCCGTAAACTCGTTCATTGTCGGGCACCACTTTGCCTCTCTGCCCTTGTGGTTCTCCCGCGCCCTGGGTGCTCTTTTCCTGTCTCACCACGTGAGTCTGCTTACCTGAGTGCAGCTTACCCCTCTGAACGTCTCTGAACCTGGCTGCTTCTCCCTGCCTTGTGCAGGGCGCACACGAGCCTGGGGACCGGTGCTAAGGCCGTATCGCCCCTGGTAACTCTTACACAAATCGTTTTTGTCTGAGCGCTGAAGAAGTGAAAGAAAGCTTCCAAGGTACATGTGCTTAGAGGTGGCCGCTGAGAGTCTATGCATCAATCATTTTAGAAGAATTTAAGGACTTGTGTCCTTCCATCCAAAGCAAAGTATTTATTTTTAAAATTTATTTTATAACACAGGTCACTATTCTTTCTAGGATATATCGTTACATGAAAAACAAAATCAAATAAAAAAACAAAAACCCAAAGGGCTTTATGTTTCAAGGTGATGTTATTTTGTCCCTCAGAACTCTGTTGTGTAATTACTAAGTTCTGCCTAATGTCAACCGCATGACTGAATGTTGTGAATCTGTCAGCTGACATGTTTTGTTTTAAGACAAATAGGATCTGCATTTGTCTGCCTCTGGCCTTCAGCAACCTGGCAAGCGGGCTCTTATATTTAGCGCTCAACCATTAAATGTGGGCAGGCTGGAAAATTTTCTAGTATCTTAAAACAAAAATAGTAATTGATATAAAACTTTGTTTTTTTCCCCCAGATGTATCTATGCAGAAAATTGGTAATGCAACACAGCACATGTTGGCTTATTTCAACAGAACCCAAATTTCTCTAAGTCACGCACCATTCAGTATGTTTTCCAAGAAATATTTTTCAATATTGATGGAGAAATTATTTTAAAGAGGATTAATATCAATCACTCTTTTTTTTCAAATGATTTGCTCTTTTTGGTCCTTTTAAAACTCAAAAAGTCAATTTTTACAAAATACAATTTCTGTGGAATGTCCAGGAATGAAGGAGTAGATTTAGACACACCGAGTGAGTGTGAGAACTGAGAATGAAGAGCATAATTCCAAAAAAGGCACAGGATTATTAGGAAACAAGCGGAGAAATTTAGATTAGCAAGTGAGAATATAATTTTTGAGATCAAGAGACACTGGGTATTTATTATTGTTATTTTCAAATAACTGTTGTTTTGAAAAATAGTTTTCATAGAATGGTTTTATATTTTCTTTATTAAAGCTTAATTGTAATACATTAAAATAAAAAATGAGAAAAGAACGTGATATCATTTAGCAGCACAGTAGCTCTAAATGAGACACATCTAAAAATTCTCTTTTGTTTGATCAGTTACCCTTCCATAATTTCATATCCACACGCAACTTTGCTCCAATTTTCTTGAGGGCATTATTTACCTCTTGATTTCTCAAGCTATAGATCAATGGGTTTAACATGGGAATCACCACCACATAAAACACAGAAGCAAACTTATCTGTGTTCAGAGAATGGCTTGACTTAGGCTGCAGGTACATAAAAATAATTGTCCCATAAAATATTGAGATGGAGGCCAGGTGAGACGCACAGGTAGAAAACGCTTTCTGTCTCCCTTCTGCGGACTGAATCCTCAGGATGGCAAAGAGGATGAAGGCATAAGAAATGAGCACAATCACGAGAGAGCAAATGGCATTGAACCCTGCAATGATTAGCAACATGAGCTCTTTGACGTGAGTGTCAGAACAGGCCAGAGCCATTAAGGGAATGTCATCGCAGTAGAAGTGGTTGATCACGTTGGAGCTACAAAAAGATAAGCGGAACGTGGCCACTGCCTGTACCACACCCACCGTGAACCCATAAACATAAGTGCTGGCCATCATTTGAACACACAGTTTCCTAGGCATGAGGATGACATACAGTAGCGGGCTGCAGATGGCCACGTAGCGGTCGTAGGCCATGACGGAGAGCAGGTACATTTCACACACTGCAAATGTGATGAAGCAGCACACCTGGACGGCACAGGCAAGGAATGGTATACTTTTAACATTGCGGCAAAAATTCACCAGCATATTTGGGGTGACAGCGGAGGTAAAACAGAAGTCAATAAAAGCCAGATGGCTGAGGAAGAAGTACATGGGCGTGTGCAGCTGTGGGCTGACTTGGATCAGCGTGATCAACCCAAGATTGCTCAGGACACTGACTAAGTAGACCACTAGGAACACACCGAAGAGGATGACCTGGAGCTCTGGGTCCTCTGTGAGCCCCAGGAGGATGAATCCAGATTCTGCTGAGTGATTCCCCTCAGCCATGGAAGCAGTATAAAAAGTTTTCTTCAATAAAGCCTTTTTAGCACACATGGAACAATAAATTTCCTGTAATCAGGAGGAGGTTAGGAGGTGATAATTATCCACTAGTCTTTTGTGGAACATATTCAAGGAAATGTCTTCCTGGTGTGCATGGTTTCAGATGGTATTTATTTATTGTGGGCAGTAATTTCAATGCACATACTCTGGGGTTTTTTAAAAATAGAAAATTATTGATTAATCTATGTTATGTCCACATTTAATAATAAGAGAAAAAATTTAAATACACGCATTAATAAACAATAAAATTCATTTTATTACAAATTAGTAGGTTCTTTTCAAATTCACTAATTCATGAATGTTTTGTTAGAATGAATAATACATTTTTAGAAATTGACTCTTGCAGAGATAATAGGACTCCTAAATGATGACCTTCGTACTCTCTATTTGTAATATTTTTTATCTGTTTCTTTCATGTATGCAATTCCCAATTTTTCTGCAATTGTTATGAAGTATTTGCAAATTCAGTAGAGAAAAAAAGAATGTTATCTGAAGTAAGAGAAGAGAAATCCTAAGATGAGCTTCAGTGGTCTTCTCTCAAACAAAAGAGACCACTGTTCTTTTCACTCCATGAAGGATATAGATTGCTGGCGTGTTTGTCCCTGAATTATCAGATGGCTCTCTGAGGCTGAGACCTCTCTCTCCATCCATCTCTCTTCAGCTGCCTCTGGTGAAGCTGGATCACTCAGGTATCTTGATCTTCCTACTAGTCTTATTTTATGTTAATGCTCTCCTTTCAGAGCAGCAGAGTCTTCCCTTTCAGTCGTCTGGCTACTTTGAAAAGTCAGTCAGTGATTTCAGCCCTTTCAAGTGCCCAGTAGGTCAGTTCGAACTCTTGATCATATAATCATGGAATTGATCGAGGTCCACACTTTCGTCACCATCATGCAATCCCAGCATAAAGATGACTGCAAGAGCTTCGTGGCTTTAAGATGTTTCAAAATAGTCATCCACAGGTTCAGGGCCTTTAACCCCTATTCTCCTGACTCGTGTGCACTTAGCTCATACACTGATGTTTTGTGGAAACTGTTTACCTTTTGCATTTTATTACCAAACTGCCTAACAATCCTTCAACTCTTCTATGAAGAAGTATGGCTCCTGTGTCATGAAGTTATTCTGTCTGATAGCCTGGTCCCGCTTCAAAATCTACTTCCCTTCAGAACACTTTAAATGTTTGAAATTTCTCTTCTGAACAGACACGCATACCTGACTAGTTTCCAGGAATCTTTAATTAAATATTCCACATGTATCTAAATTTGCATATTCAGAGTATTCATCAATTCAGAAATATTCTACCCAACTCATTGCATCAAAGTTAATTCAGGATGTGTTCTCCCCTTCCTCCCAGCCACCCGCATGAGCAAGTGAAAGAAAACACATCTCATATATCATTCGAACTTTACCAGTGAACAATTATCAAGCAACACTAATTACTTAAGCTATTTTTCTTCAAATGTATCTAGTGGTAGCATTTTCTGTATTGTTTAGGCTTTAATTTATAACTGAAGTTTTGCTTTCCAAGTGCTGTGTTACCCACCCCTTTCACCATCTTTAGTGCGTCTATGGCCCTTCCAATGTGCTTCCTAACACATAAATTGTAGGTCACTGCCTTCCATTAAACCAGGAAGCAAGTCCTAACATTTTAGCATTGTTCATTAAACTTTTGATAGATAAGCATTTCTTTGTAAGCTACCTTCATCCCTTGCAATATCATAAATAAAATAAGTACCTATAACTTGGACTCAGCAATGAATAGACATTCCCAGTGATATCCAAATTATTGAACAAAGATTGTGTTTCTCTGTACCACTTTTGTCACTTCAGTTACCTTTATCTTTCCCCTGCTACGTACTGCTTTTGAATAATCCACAGAAAAACCAAAGTGAGCCAGCATATCTTGAGGCAAATTTTGTGGTTCCAGTGTCACCAAACCTTGGTTAAGTATCACAAAGTTATTCCATATTATGGTAGCCTGGTCCCTGTAGAGTATTTTTCTTAAATTACATCATTTGAATTCAATTTCTGAGCCAAGTATATAATACTGTTTCACAAACATAGCAATTATGCTGTGGTTGATCTTTGGGACCCAATTTGCTTAATAGGCAAAAATAATCACTTAAATGGTATAGCTGAGCCTAATAGTATTAAATAATTAATACATTAGAGCAGAGATTATTTTAACCTATGATAAAACACAGTAATTTTAATTAACTTTAATTTGCTCCATACATACTAGTACAGGTTATTTATAAAAGCTGTACATTTTGGTAAGAGGTCATGGTATATACTAAATCTAAGTAAATTAACTTGCTATTGGTTTTTGCAGTGCTATGAAGAGATGATCTATATTGAAATAAAGCCCTGAATCTACACTTGAAACTTATAATTTTTAAGGAGTTAAGCCAATACTGGTTAAACAATGGATTTCTTAGGGGTCTCGGGACACATTTATTTAAATCTCAGAAAGTCATTGCCTGAAATTTCTGTTTAATGAGAAAAATGATTTCATATGAACTTGATTTTGTCTCCTGAAGTCAGTTGGAAAGCATTTACAACTATGGGAAAATTATCGTTCATCTTCAAATCCTATGAAAAGAGTGTTTTCATTTGCATTCTTCATTCCCAGACATTTAAAAGCATGAAAGTAGACGTATAAGTAGGAAATCAGAGCCAATGACCTATTTTTAATCCGAATAAAAGAAGAAAATTATTTAGTCTTATTATTTGAGACTGTTTTTCCCTACAATCATTGGTTTTCTGAATTTGCATATCACCCTTCTTCCTATAAGAATTGACCATAACAAAAAAATCTTATGTACAAGAGAATTCATAGCAGGCTGATGCAGGGCCCACAGTGAGATAGCCAGGCTAACAATACCTGGTGTTGGGGGCTTTTTGGATAATGCCCATGTATGTTCCCTTTTCTTGGTCCTCTTGACAGTGCTAGCATGCAGTTTTGCCAGTAGGAGTTAGTGTGTTACATGCTTGTTCTGTCCTGCCCCATGCATGTTAGAGGGGACGCTTCCGTTTTGGGAAAGATGAGTGCAGAGAAGAGCTAGTTGGAGAAACTCTTTTGCAAATCCCCAATCCATGAGTGAGATGTAACAACTGTGCCTCCACCTCAGCATCTGAAGTGTCCACTGTCCATCTGTGATGCTCCGCTGGTTGGCAGGAAATCAGCCTCGACTTCCTGATCCTGGTTTCATCCAACTTTTCAGAGAAAGGATGAGTTGGTGAACTTCAACATATCCAGAGCTTTACTTGCCAAGTACCTCATTATTTTATCTGGGTCGTTCAAAACAATTTCTTCAGCAGTCAAGGAAATATTCCTCCCCTTTGATTGTCCTTGGCACCATAAGAGAAAGCCATTACCTTTTGGGATTCTGTGCGTGAGTATTGGAAATTCTACAAGTGAGCCTCACCTCCACATCCTCTCCATCGGTTCTTTATATCAGATAATCCAGCCGTCAGTAGGCTGCCTCGGCAGCTGTCCAGAAAGCTAACAGCAAGTAGGTAAGTAATAAGATGATGCTGTGTGTTTGTCACTCTTTCTGTTTAGCCACTTCCCCTCTACAACATGCTTGTGGGTGGAGAAGCTGTGAGTGGAAAGGTAGTCATTCATGGACTGATCGCAGTACACTCACTGCAGAATAAGTGCCTGAGGAGCCCATCTCTGAATTACTTCTTTTCCAAAGACAATCTGGAATATTGTGCCACAACGTCATAAAAGAATGAAACATAATAATTCATCTCCCTGAAAGGACCCCAGGTCAGCAGATGTCTATGTTTAATCAGCAACACGGGAGAGGTCTATTTCACATAGACAATCTGCTAAGTATGTAAATTTAAGTAGCTTCTTCTTTGTCATACATTTTTAAAGAAATTAGGGAATCAGGAAAATATTTAGTGTATGTGTCTTTATTTTTTACCTGGCGTTTTATGAATGCATCCCTCGTATCTGGAAGTGGAGCTTGAGGACAAAGGGAATCTGAACTTTTATACCTGCTCTGCTCAGAGCTTTGTATGCCTTGGTAACTATTTTAAATGCAGTTTAATTTGAGAAATGGAAAAGCTGGTATAGATTCCTATGGACCAGGAATTTATTTTCAGACATGGGCCAAGTGAAAAAATGAAAGAAGGGGTATTACATCCTACAGTTATTTTTATATCCAAAATCACATTCTACATGACCGCTTCAGAAAAGTGTATTATGCCGTGTCAAGACAAAACACATTCTATACTGGGCATTCAGACAGTATTTTAAGTGTAAAAGTAGGAATACAGAAAATGCCCATTTTTATTTATTGAGGTCATTTTTGAAATTTCATGCACACACAAGCCTGCATGCTCCGGCTGACCGCTTTCTTCAGAGCCTCTTTGACCTCCTTGTTGCGCAGGCTGTAGATCAGAGGGTTCAGCATGGGGATGATCATGGTGTAGAAGACAGAGGCCATCTTATCCGTGTCCAGCGAATGGCGGGAGCTGGGCTGCAGGTACATGAAGATCAGGGTCCCGTAGAAGATGGTCACCGCCAGCATGTGGGAGCCACACGTGGAGAAGGCTTTGCGCCTCCCCTCAGCCGAGCGCATCCTCAGGATGGCGGAAATGATGAACACGTAGGAGACGAAGACAGTCAGGAGGGAGGAAAGGAACATGATGCCCGCGCAGGCGAAGATCCACAGCTGTTTGGAGCGTGTGTCGGAGCACGTGAGCCTGAGGAGAGGCATGTCGTCGCAGTAGAAGTGATTGACGACGTTGGAGCGGCAGTAGCAGAGGCGGAAGGTCAGGGTGGCATGAAATAACGCAACCAGGAAGCTGTAGCTGTAGGGGGCAGCTACGAGCTGAATGCAGAGGCCCGGGGACATTCTGACCATGTACAGCAGAGGGTCGCAGATGGCCACGTACCTGTCGTAGGCCATGGAGGCCAGGAGCAGGCACTCAGCCGTCATGAAGGCCAGAAAGCAGCCTAACTGAGCCGCACAGGCACTGAAGGATATAACATTTTGTTGGTACAGGAAATTGCCAAGCATCTTGGGCGTGATGACAGACGAATAGCAGAAATCAACAAAAGCCAGGTTGCTCAGGAAGAAGTACATTGGCGTGCTGAGTCTCGCGTCTGTTCTGATGACCAGGATCAAGCCCAGGTTGCCTAGGACCGTGAAAACGTAGATGGAGAGGAAGGCCGTGAAGAGGGGCATCTTCAGCTCCTGGCGGTCGGTGAGGCCCGCGAGGATGAACTCGGTTGCCTGTGTGCAGTTTCTCTGAGCCATGCGTCCTCAGGACATCTGGGAAACAGGGAAAACGTGGTCAGGTTTAATATTTCTGTAATTTTTTAACCTTAACAATTTGAGAAGCAGTTTCTTTGTTATTACCAAAGTGGTGATTTGGTATTAACAATGACTAGCACGCTTAGAGTCTAATGATAGATGACGGTCAAAGGAGGCATTTTGCAGAAAACATGTTTATTGCCACCTAGATTGTACTTATAAAACTAAGACTTGTAGGATAGGAACTGGTGCTGAGTGGGTTGGTCTGTATTCAAAAGCTCTGTGCAGTTTTAGAAATTTAACATTAACCTTCTAAATTTAAAGCTCTAGCTTTACTGAAAATGTTGACCTTAATAATATAAATGAAAATGAACCTGATTTACTGAACTCGCTCTCCTTTCGGTACACCTGAGCCTTGTACACACTATGGGCATTCCGACAACCGCACGGTACTCGGTACCTTTACTCTGCGTTCATCCCTTTCCACCCCATATTTATAACTGTCTTAGTACTGCAGACCCTGAAAATGGATGCACTTCTGAGAGACCCATGAATGGGCCCTGTAGGTATTTGTTTGCTTCGTTTCTTATTATGCCCATTTTACAAATGGGGAGGAGAAGTCTCAGAAAGGTGAAATACCGGAAGTAAGCGGAGCCAGGGAGAATTTGAACCTGCGCTTTGACTCAGGAGCCCTGTACCTCATTATTGTTCTCCGAATCCCCTCTGTATTCAATCACTGTAGGCCTAAATAACAGCTACAAGTGTATTCATCTGCATCTGTAAAATATAAACTTATCTGATCAAATACAATGAATATCAAGACTCTAAAACTACTTTAATTAAAATAAACCAACATTTATTCTCCAATAGATTTTCTTCAGTTTGCACAGATTCTGACATTACCATTTACTTAAAAGCACGTACATTGCCATTCTGATATTAGCACATACATTTGAATGATTTTTATTTTATATTCATTATTTAATTTTATTTCATTATGGTATCATTTAAAGTGGAAATATCCTCTCATTTTTACCTATTGTTTTAGACTTTTTCCATAATTAGGATGTTAATATTAATGTATATCTAACATGATGCCATCATCTCTAGACAAGTGGGTATAAATACAGAAGTCCTGCTAAGATGCACTATTTTTGAAAAATCTTATTAACACAGGTATTTTCTTTCTTTACTATTCTGATGTAAAGAATCACCTTTCCTTGTACTTAATACCTGGATCAACCGATTTTTATACTACATTGTTATTAAAAGTAAATAAATGTGGGAGTGGTGTACCTGTGTGTAAAACTATATTTATAAATGTATTACATTCCTAGATACATTCAATGTAGAGAGATATGTGTCTGAAAACCAAGTATCATTTAACATTCAAGCAAAATAACAAACATGATTATCTTTGTGCAGTGGGGTACGGGAGTCCTTTTCATCCCCTGGCACCCAGCTGAGTACTTAGTAGATAGTAAGAAAATGCTGAGTCAGATGAATCATCCGTCCTAGTTCTGTACATGGACAGACTTTTTCCCATCTAACTTTTTCCCAGTCTAACATACCAAACAGTCATCCTACATCCAATGGTTATTTTCTCCTAAAGTTACATTAAAATATTCATCACCATGATAACAAAATTTTACCGTAGAGACTCAATGTGCCACAGCATTAAGATGCATGAGTCTAGGGCTTTCCTAGTGGCAATGCCAAAGATTGGGAATTGTGCCCCTGAGTTAAATTACTCAGACTTTCTTCACTCGAAGGCTGAAATATAACATAGAGATATGCTCCTTCATAAAGGGTTGATGAAATATTTCCATGTGGGTTGGCACATGTCTTTGTATCTGGTTTCTTTCCCTCTCTCCCTCCTTCCCTTCCTGCCTCTCTTCCCTCTTTCTCCCCCGTCTCTTGCTCCCTTGCTTCCTCTTTCCCTCCCCCCCCTCTGTTCCTTCTTTTTTTCTTTTATTCTTTGCACCGGGGCTGATGCCAGGGCCTCAGGCTTGCTAGCCTGTTCCATTGAGCCGTATCCACCAGTTACATCTATGAGAAAGAACATCCAGAATAAACAATAAACAAACTTTAGCACGTCAAAAATTCAGTTAGTTCTTCAGTTTCCTATTCCTATAAATTGTACTTTCTTAATATTGTTGCAATAAAGGAAGTTATTTCTGTCTCAGGTGTAGTATAAATACGTTTGTGATCAGTAAAAATATTTAAAAACTGTACAAAACTCTCCATTGATACGTTAAAAGTTCCATGTACACAGAAGTAAATGCAATAACTTTTCAAATTTATTGATGACAGAGTGGGCCATGCTAATGGGATGAGCTGGAGAGCAAGATACTTCCACTAGTTCAATTTAGAGGTCATTCAGCAGGAGAAACACAGACTACATTTAGTAGAGCAGATGGTTATAAAGTTTTGCATGCAACATGTCATAAGTTGAAGATAAAGCAAACTTATCAAATTTTAAGTCTTCCAACATAATCTCAGCTAATGGAAAAAAAAACCTATAGTTTTGTGTATTTTGCTATACCACAAAGCATAAGAATAAAATAAATCAGAAGTCAGATGTTCTTAGAGCATGAACAGGGTTTTAAAAATAAATTTTGAGCTTGTATGTTTGTCTGTGTCTATCATTCTCTATCGAGGAAAAGACTGGTCAGTGCTGTTGCTCGTCATTACAGGAGATGTAAGTCATCTCAGTTTTATGAATCTAATTGCACTTCTCAAAAAATGGGGGTCTTCTTTTGGAATATGGGGAAAAATAAGAACCAAGACACATCATGCAGATGTACAAGATCCCAGTGATGAATGTAACTGTACTGTTTCCTTTAAATGCACCAATAAACAATGGGGGGCAGAGAAAGAGGATTTTCAGAGCTGCCTCAGAGAAGGACAATGATGACTTCACGCATTCAAGGTGGAGGGGAGTATTTGAGGGGGAAGAAGGACAATGTGTAATAAAAGTCTTAGAAATTAAAGAAAAAGAAATACAGTCAGGAGGTGCTTAAAAACCAGGATGAATTCTGAGGAAGCACACATCACTGAGAGAGACCTCACAGAGCAAACACCCCACGGAGAGCACATGCACAGCCAGAAGTGCCTGTCACCAGGCGGATTGGAAATGGAACCCCACTGTGCGGGGACCACAACTGTGGGCTCGCAGTGTTCGCTGGCCCGTGGCTGTGTTCACAGGCCAATTTCATTCTCATTTTGTGTCCAAGTCTGGAGATGCTGGAGAAGGCTGCACTCTTTGGCAGTTCTATTTTTTCTCAAAAGTAGATCTACTGCTGCCTTATTTTTAGAAATATATTTCAAACAGTCTTTCACAGTATATGCCATTATGTTTTACATTCAAAATTTAGCACTATTCCAGGGTAATTAGGATATGGCTTTGCAATACTGCAGTGTGTATTTTCATGATTCACATCCATGTGATCCAGCAGCCCCCCTCCCCACTGCCTCCCCAGCTCTCAGTGACCCCGACTGTCTCCTGACTTAGCCGAGTTCAATCTCATCCCTCCCAGCAGCTCCCCTTCCACCCCCCGGGGAACTGAAGATTGTCCTGGCCGCGACCTGAGACTTCCATGAGTGGAGGGAGGAGTGACCTATGTGTCTTCCCCCAGCAGCTTGGACCAGTCCCAGCCCCACCCCGTCCCTGGGAGCTGAGGTTCCTGTCAAGCACCTTGAATGGGGGTAGATAGATATGCATTGTCATATAAAGATTTGAAAAACTATTTGAAAATTTCCAGAGAAAGTTCTCTGAAACTCCTTGGAAAATCAAACACTTAATTGACTGGACAGAACAAAATCTATGACAAGACTGTCCTCACTCTTGCAAAAGCTAGATGTTGTCTCTAGGATAAAAAGCATATCAAAACCAAATCCTGAATGCCTGTGTGCAGTTTCTCTGAGCCATGCGTCCTCAGGACATCTGGGAAACAGGGAAAACGTGGTCAGGTTTAATATTTCTGTAATTTTTTAACCTTAACAATTTGAGAAGCAGTTTCTTTGTTATTACCAAAGTGGTGATTTGGTATTAACAATGACTAGCACGCTTAGAGTCTAATGATAGATGACGGTCAAAGGAGGCATTTTGCAGAAAACATGTTTATTGCCACCTAGATTGTACTTATAAAACTAAGACTTGTAGGATAGGAACTGGTGCTGAGTGGGTTGGTCTGTATTCAAAAGCTCTGTGCAGTTTTAGAAATTTAACATTAACCTTCTAAATTTAAAGCTCTAGCTTTACTGAAAATGTTGACCTTAATAATATAAATGAAAATGAACCTGATTTACTGAACTCGCTCTCCTTTCGGTACACCTGAGCCTTGTACACACTATGGGCATTCCGACAACCGCACGGTACTCGGTACCTTTACTCTGCGTTCATCCCTTTCCACCCCATATTTATAACTGTCTTAGTACTGCAGACCCTGAAAATGGATGCACTTCTGAGAGACCCATGAATGGGCCCTGTAGGTATTTGTTTGCTTCGTTTCTTATTATGCCCATTTTACAAATGGGGAGGAGAAGTCTCAGAAAGGTGAAATACCGGAAGTAAGCGGAGCCAGGGAGAATTTGAACCTGCGCTTTGACTCAGGAGCCCTGTACCTCATTATTGTTCTCCGAATCCCCTCTGTATTCAATCACTGTAGGCCTAAATAACAGCTACAAGTGTATTCATCTGCATCTGTAAAATATAAACTTATCTGATCAAATACAATGAATATCAAGACTCTAAAACTACTTTAATTAAAATAAACCAACATTTATTCTCCAATAGATTTTCTTCAGTTTGCACAGATTCTGACATTACCATTTACTTAAAAGCACGTACATTGCCATTCTGATATTAGCACATACATTTGAATGATTTTTATTTTATATTCATTATTTAATTTTATTTCATTATGGTATCATTTAAAGTGGAAATATCCTCTCATTTTTACCTATTGTTTTAGACTTTTTCCATAATTAGGATGTTAATA